GGGGGCGGGGGCGGGGGCGTGTGGATTGGTCAGTGGAATTACTCAGCTGGGGCCTGGATGAACACGACGGGCTGCTGTTGGGGGTCATGGTGCGGGGCTGACGCCACAAGCACATGTACACTGCGGAGGAGTGCGAGCCTCTCGCCACCTCCGCGTGCACGCTGTGGTCGGGCCCCCGTCGTGCACTCTGCACTGTGCCAGGCTGGCTGGCCGCCCATGGATTCACCCCTTCCGAATATCGCACGGCCCACCTGCCCAGCCACCAGCAGTGTCATCGCCTCGTCTCTCAGCGCTTGGTCCGACAGGCCTGCAGATATCATGGATTATTGGGGGTGGGTGTGTGAGGGTAGGAGGGGCTGGGAGGACGGGGGCCTGGCGGGGGCAGCAGGAACGCACTCGGTGCTGGGGTCGGGCGGCATTTGAATTCCGCCCTGCCGACCCTGGCCATTTTCAGGGTACAAGGCTGCTAGGGACGCATTGCCAGGGACGCATGGACGAGCGCGTGCGCGAGCAACAGCCGCTGGCAAGGCGCTCAGAGGCCCACCCCCTTCAAGCCCCGGCCGTCATCGGGCGCCCTGCCTATTCCCTGGGTGCTCCTCAGGCCCCTCACCCTCGCCGTCGTCGTCCGCCGCCTCCAGCAGGGCCTGCAGCAGGTCAGGCCACCCCTGACCACCACCCGCCCGCGGCCCCTCCTCCGCCTCCTCCGCCTGCCGCTGCTGCTGCTGCTCCTGCTGCTGCTGCTGCTGCTGCCGCTGCCGCGCCAGCTCGGCCCTGCGGCGGCCGATGATGCCGTACACCATCCCGTCCAGCTCCTGCACCGCCGCCGCAAACTCGAGGTTGTCTGGCGTCGGCACCCACTCCGGCACGACCATCGCCGCGGCGCCGCGGTTTGCAAAGAAGGCGAACGCGCGCTCGACCGCCGCCACCACGCGCGCCGCCGCGTCGGCGGCGGCCGGGCCGGCCCTGGGGTCGGCGGCGGGGCCGCGGGCCGCGGGGCCGGCGGCGCGGTCGTCGTCGGTGGAGAGGCCGAAGAGTGCCGCGAGCGTGATGTTGAGGGTGAGCTTATTGAACTGAGGGGGGCGGAGGGCGCGGATTGCGACGGGGTGGAGTGGACGAGGGGGGACACACACTTGCGGTTGCACACATGGGCACACACCTGGCGCACACACGAAGTATAGGCATGTGCGCACCATGCACTCACTCACACGCAACGACGTTCAAGAACGCACACACAAAGCAAGCTCACATGATACAAAGAGGTACACACACAGATGCAGACACACACAGACACACACAAGAGCATGTTGATGATGTCATGAGCATGCGCATGCAACTCACCTCCTTGTAAACATCCACCACGCCCCCAGGGCCATCACCGACCCCGCCACCGCCGCCACCCGGCGCCCGGCCCCCGCGGTAGCCCTGCGGCGCGGCGGCGGCCGCAAACGGCCCGCGCAGCAGCCGCTGCGTCTCCTCCACCATCTGTGCTGCGTAGCCCTCGACCGCGGCGCGCCGGAACGCTGGGTTGGCCATGCGGCGCTGGCGCCGCCACACATCGCCATCGCTGACAAGAAGCCCGTTCCCAGTTAGGGCGCTGCCCGGGAAGAAGGCGGTTCCCTCCTTCACAAAGATGTCCGCTCGGTCTATGAGGACCTGCCGGGCAGCTGCCGGGTCGCTGACTAGGACGACGCGCTCGCCGCCGAGCAGCAGGCCGGCCACGGGGCCGTGGCGGGCGCGCACGTCCTCAATAAAGGCAAGGGGGTCAGCAAGCATGGCGGCAGACTGGTCGCCGGCAGGGCCGGCCGGGAAGCCTGCAGGTTGAGGGTTGGGGCCACACGGGGGGTTGTTGCGTGTCTGCCCTGCGACTGACATGCAACGGGCAATGCCTGCACATGCACACGCCTGTGCGTGTGTTTTGTTCATGTCACAAGTGTGCATGCCATGTCCAGTGCCACTCGCAACACTCCAGCTAGAACTGGCGTCATGCAAGCAGAGCGCAGCCTGCATCCCCTGGACAACCTTGCCGGCAGCATCTGCCAGGCAGCTTCCCGCACCCGCGGGCGGCGGCTCGACGTAGCGCTGCAGCTTAGTGGCCAGGGTCGCGGCCGCGGCCGTCGCCTCCTTAAGGGTGTCCTCTGCTTTGGATGAGCCGGCGGTGAACAGCGCGGCCCAGAGGTCGGTCAACATGCCTGGGGGCGCCCCGCTGCTGCTGCGGCTGCTGCTACTGCTCCTGCTCGAGCTTGCGATGCTGTTGCTGTTGACACTGGCGCGGTTGCCGGTGCTGCCCTTGCCGCTTGGGGTGCGACTGCCGTTGGCGCCAGCAGAGCCAGGGGCAGGTGCGGCAGCTGCCGGGGCGGAGATGCCGACAAAGCTGCCTGTGCCGTCTCTGGCCTCGTCAGCAGGGAGGGCGTCTGGGCTCGACGGGCGCAGGGGGCTGGGGGCCGGAGCGCCTCGCCCCTGCTTGCGCCGCGATGTCGCAGGTGATATCTGACGCGGCGCCTCTGTCGTGGCTGCGCCAGCTGCCCTGTCACTGGCGCGCGTGCTTGTCCGCATCGCCGGCGCGCACGCCTGATGGCGCAGCGGCCGCGACGCCAGGGGCTCGCCGCCCTGCCGGCTGTGTCTTAACTGTCCTGCATGGCGTGTTTTCATCCGTTCCAGCATCCTGGTGTGTGGCACACGGTCAATGAGCGTGTTTGAGTGCACGCGTGTTCCTCGAGATCGATATCCGAGCAAGATTGTGAGATTATAGAACTTGAATTTATCAGATGCGCACCCCTCATGGCCTCTGCAGGGCAAAGCGCGTATGTGGTTGCGAACACACACCCGGGTGTCACTCAGGATCTGACCCTTTCAAAGCGTCCAAAACGGAATACAAATGGCGTGTTGTTTCTTGCTGTAATTCGACGGTTGTTTTCGGCTCCTGTGCAGCAAGTTGCGATCAAACATTGCAGTTTACAGCACAGGCCGGAGATATCGCTAAGAATGCTCTTGCTCAGCAAGAACAGATGTCTAACAATTGGCAGGCGTCAAACTGCTAGTGCCACGCCCGTGCGTGCACTCCACAGCGGCACCCACCTTGCGGCGGCGCAGCTGACGCGTTGCTGTGGCATCAGAGGCCGGCGGAATGCGCGCATCCGCGCCCAGGGCGACGAACAGCAGCCAGTGGCAAACCCTCTAGAGGCGCCTTCAGCAGATGTGGCTCCAGGAGCAGCAGCAACGGCAGCGGCAGCAGCGGTGGCGCCCCTACAGGCGGTTCCTTGGAAGTGGACCGAAAGCGACGACGCGCTCTGGGCGTATGGCGCGCTGTTTGCGGTGCTGGGAGTCGGCACGTTGCCGGCACTCCACACCAGCCCCTTGGCGGGTGAGCAGGCGGGCCATATGTCATGCACAAACCTGTGGCCGCCGTCATTTGCACGAACTGCAAGCCGCGGTCACGTGCACACGCCGGCGCGTCCTCATCGACACCGCTGCCGGTGCTAGTCATGCCACAACCACCGCCCAACCCACGCACGTGTGCAGCAGCTGTTGACCTTGCACAATGAGGCCCCACCCTGTCCTCCATCTCTCTCCACTACCACAAACCGCCACTGCAACTGCCAGACCTGCCCTACTTTGTCCTGCTTGCGGTCTTGACCATCTACATCGGCAGCCACAGGGCCGTCACCAACAACATGCGGCAGCAGATCTCATTCAGAGAGGTGAGGGCAGGGGCTGTCCGCGGCGCACCCCTGCGGGGCCGCTCGTGCGGGCGCTTCGCTGGGCTCCTTGGTCCCAGCGGCTGCGGCGAGATGACTGGGCGCAGGCTCTCTGTGTCCAAAAGCGATCCAGCGGCCACGGCCGTTGGGGTGCCGGTGGCATGTCTCTGACTTCCTGTTTCCCGCCATCGCCCTGCTGCAGGGCCTGCTGGCGCCCGTGGTGCTGTCTGTGTCGCTGTTTGGCCTGTACCTTCTGATCAAGTTCACAGACTTTGACCTGCAGGTGGGGCCGGCGCCCGCCTCCGCGGCGTCCCGGCTGCGCGCCGGCAGTCCCTTTTGCATCATTGGCCGTCCCCTCGCATGGAACGTGATCGCCACCGAAACAGTCGGGTCTGTTCCTGCGCAGCAGGCGCCCATGATTGCCTGAGTCGTCGGTCTTGCACCCTAGAGCCCCGCCGCCTCCGCCGTCATCGTGCCTCTCTCCTGCCCCGCCGACTCCCGACAACAGACCTTCCTCAGCGCCTACTTTTGGCTGCTCGCCACCGTCGCCATAACCGGCGCCGCGACGCCGCTGCTGCGCCGCGTCGGCGACGCGCTGGGGCAGCCGACCCTGGCCGTGACCGTCCCGGAAGGCCTGCTGATGGATGACAAGGGGGAGGGCGTCACGCGCGCCGAGCTGCGGCCGTCGGCGGCGGCGGCGGTTGCGCTCGCGGCGGGCGTGGCGACGTGGGACGCGCTGCACCACGGCGACTTTACTCTCAACAACATGGTGTGGCGCTGGCTGTGCTGGCTGCTCTCTCTTGGCAGGGCACTCGAGGGCTGCAAGGAGTCACCCAGACACTCCCAGGATATTCTGCTTGCAGATTTCCACCATCCTTCTGCAAAGCCATGGCCTCCCTTTTGCAACGTACCGAGGCTCATTGATTGTGACCCCTGCATTCTGGGTCCGCGTCTGTCTCTCCCCCAGGTCGCCTGCCTGGTGGCCACCGAGCTGCTGCAGCTACTCGGCATCCGCAGCTTCCGCGCAGCCGCCCTCCTGCTGGGCGGCCTGCTCTGCTACGATGTGTTCTGGGTGTTTGCGTCGCCAGAGGTGGGCAGCGGGAGCACAGGATCCCGGGCGCAGCGCCATTCGCGCAGCATGTGAGGCATGTACGCCTGCGCACGCAGTGCTCAGAAAGGCGCAGCATGCGGCCCCTTGTGCTGCCTCTATCGATATTGCAAGCTCGCTTCTCGGAAGGGCTTTGCCTGTGTTTCCAGCTGCGTCACCAGACATGCCAAGGATGATCCCACAAACCCACTCCCCCTGATGCTCCTGCCCGGCCCGCCAGGTGGTGGGCGACAACGTGATGCTGGCGGTCGCCACCTCGGACGCCGTCACCGGCCCCACGCGCCTGCTGTTCCCGCGCGTCCCGCGCGTGGGGGGCCAGGTCCCAGACTTCCCCTTCTCCCTGCTGGGCCTGGGGGACGTGGCGCTGCCCGGGCTGCTGGCCGCGCTGGCGCTGCGCTACGACGCGTCGCGCAGGTGGGGCGAGGGCGGCGCCTGGCGGACGAGGGCTTGTCCTAGGGGGTGGGGAAAGGGTGGGGGCCCCGATGAGGCGGAGGGAAGGTGGCCTGGGAGGGGGCGGGTAAGACGTTCGCACTGAGGGGTCACAGCGTGCTTGCCAGGTGGCCAGCACACACCGACGCAAGGCTGTGTGGGCTGGGCTGGTCTGAGAGCCTTCGGATGTGGCAGCTGCCTTCTAGGAAGTTCTCATGACGTCCACAAGAACTTTTGTTGAGTACGTCCCCTCTTTACAATCGCCACCTGCCTCTTCATCAACACCACCAACTTCTCGCCGATCAACGCCAGCACCGACATGCGGGCGCGCGCCACCGCGGCCGCGGAGGCGATCCAGGAGGCGTTGGGGGAGCTGGGCCCCGGGGCCTCGCGGCAGCAGATGGGCGACGCGGCCGCCAAGGCGGCGTTCACCGCGTATGACGCGGTGGCAGACCGCGAGGAGCGCCAGCGAAACCTCAGCCAAGGCGGCGGAAGCAGCAGCACTAGCAGCAGCGGCGGCGGCAGCGGCGGCAGCGGCGCGGGCGACGGGGAGGGCGCCGCAGAGCAGGAGGAGCGCGTGCCCGTGTCTGACGCGCTGCTGGTGCAGCGGCCAACGTTCACCGCCGCGATGGTCGCATACGTGGCGGGCCTGCTGCTGGCGTTCGCGGCGAACAGCGCGACGGGCATGGGGCAGCCGGCGCTGCTCTACATTGTGCCCAGCATGCTGGGGGCGCTGGTGCTGAGCGGCTTGCTGCGGAACGAGCTCGGGCGGCTGTGGCGGTTCACGGACGTGCCCTCTTGGAAGCCCAAGCCGGCCAGCACCAAATGAAGTGGCGGCTGGTGCGGCTGCGGGAGTTTGGGAAACGGCATCATGTGTCTTCATGACTCTCTGCTTGATGCAGGCCAGCCGCCCCTGGCGTTGACAGCTTGTGGTGCAGCGTTCAGCGTCATGCGAACGGGTCTGTTGCATGATGCGTGTTTCGCATACTAAAAGCAGCGCGTGCCATGCTGATGCAGTTGCGCGGCCAGCGAACTGTCAACCTGGCGGCATGTTTTTGTGTGGGATGCAGCGGCGCGAGCAGGGGGTGTTCCGGCGTCTGCAGGCACAGGCGACGCAGGAATTTGTGGGCTGCTGCCTATTCTTTGGAGTGCGTCCACCATATTCTTCTGGGGCTGAAGGAATTGCCGGCACCGCGGGCATTACATAATTGTTCAATACATGAATGATACCACCTTCCCTCAGAGCACGGTCAGCGACCAGCTGCCAGCCACAGCCCTGCTTGGTTGTAGGTAAGAACACATTAGCCTCCCTGCAATTGTAAGGTGGGTTTGCGCCGTGCAACCCCAACGGCAGATGGGGTATGCGCTCTGATACAGTGCCTTGCCTGCAGGCAGTGCGCTGCCAACGGCCCAATGGGTTTTAGGGAATGGTGCCCTGGATGCAAAACGAGTGAATGCAGGGCCGAAAGAATACTGCCAAAAGCAGCGCTGGTGATCTTGACAGGAACGCCCAGCACCGCGCGCATTGCAGCGCCAGGGCACGACAGGCTCTGCGCCGGGCAAGCCTGCACAGCAGCAGCAAAGGCTGCCAGCAGGGGGCACAACCAGAGAGCAAGCCGGGCCTACTTGCGCATGCACGGACGCCCCTAGAATCACACGTGCGGGCAAGGTGCCCGCACAAGTGCAGTAGCTGCAAGCGCTCCCACACCAGCTGCGCAGTCCCGTTGTCCACGATGCGTATGGGGTTGGGGGTGGCAAGCGAGCGCGGGCTGCCTGCCGCACCCCGTCAAAGCCGTCCATACGCTGCGCACGCTCGCTAAGCTCTCCTGACCGATTCAAATACAGGGCTTTCGCATGCGCACGCACACGTCAACACACATGCGAGCATGTGGAAACGCAGGGCAGAGCCCAATGCAAGGGCATTCAGTCAGGTGCATACGCTGGTGGAGCCAAAAGTAGCAGCGGACTTGCGAGTTGTGAGGCGCCCGACACAGCGAGTGAGCGCCGCTGGCCATGCGCCCTGGGGACTGCTGTCACCTCTCTCCCCGCCAGAAGCGCGGAACCCGGCGTCACCCGCCAGCGTCAGGCGACACCAGCCCCCCCCCCCCCCC